CCTCCTGGCCCAATATTCAGGCATCGAGGGTGGTGGAGCCAGGCTGCCTGAGGACCTAGGGACTAACTTTTACTAGCAAAGTACCTCTTATTTACCTGAAATGTGAATTTAACTGGGCGCCCTGTGTTTTGCCTGACAACGCTAGCTGTGTGTACAAGGAGAGAAGAGGAAGAAAGTGGGGAGACCTGGGACGCCCCGACTCCCACCCTATTCCACCCCAGCCTGAGTGCAGTGAACTCCCTGCTGCAGCCCACCGTTTCCCACAGGCACTGCCAGGCCTGGAAGTAGCAAGAAGCCCCCCTCGCTCCTGGCCCCCATTTCCAAGAAGGGTCCTTGTTACACTGCTTTCTGAGACTTTCTCTCCTCAACACACAGCCAGGCCTCTCCCACCACCATGCAGCCCGGTCTTCCCCTCACCCCACACACCCCATTCATTACTCATTAACTCATAGGTAACCTTGACCTGATTCAATTAAGCCATCTGCCCCATGGCTCCTTCCCCCATGCTTTCATGCACATTCAGCAGAGGCCTGAGCACCAGGAACCAGCATCCTGGGAGGACATGGTGGGCAGATTTTGATTCTAGCTTTGACTTCTCCCAGCCTGTTCCTGATCTGCACACTGGACATTCACAATCATGTACCTCCGCTCAGGGCACCTGGCAAGCAGAATGCTCAGCGTGGCACCCCGCATGTAGCAACTGCTGGATGTGCCTGATACACATATGTAATTTTGGTAATACCCCCTCCTCCTCCTCCATCTTGCCTGATGTCTTTGATAGCCCAACAGGCCTCCCAGCCAGGGTCCTCCCTTCCTCCTCTCCCTCGCCTCTGTGTCCAGCCCTCACCAACCCCTGGACTGTCTCTCTGAGCCCATCCCTTCTCTTCACTCTGTGCTCCCTGGCTTCCCTGCTGTAGACTCCCCTCTTCCAATTCATCTACATCACATTCACTAGGGCTTTTCCCTAGACCAGGGGTCCTCAAACTTTTTAAAGTGGGGGCCAGATCACGGTCCCTCAGAGAGCTGGAGGGCCGGACTATATGAACTACTAATTCCTACTGTAACACCTCGGCTGCGCTCACTGCCCAAAAAACTTGCGGGCCGGATCAGACTCCTCTGCGGGCCGCATGTGGCCCGCGGGCCATAGTTTGAAGATGCCTGCTAGACAGTGGTCGGCAAACTCATTAGTCAACAGAGCCAAATATCAACAGTACAACGATTGAAATTTCTTTTGAGAGCCAAATTTTTAAACTTAAACTATATGGTAGGTACATTGTTATTAACTTCGAGTACTCCTAAGCTGGCCTTTGCTAAAAACTCAAGGGGCCAAAGAGCCGCATGTGGCTCGCGAGCCGCGGTTTGCCGACCACTGCTCTAGAACACACCTTTGTATTCCCTCTGCAAAGTTATGATGTATAATGCATGAAGACATGCAACCGATAGCAAATGTCTCCATGAGGTTCAGCTGGCAGCATCTTGCCTCTTTCATGCATCTGGTTTATTTCACATGCCATCGGTGCTATTTCTAGCCCCACGTTATAAATGAAGAAACTGAGGACATTGGCACTTGCTCAAGATCCTCTAGCTGGGAAGAACTGGGATTTGAAGCCAAGCAGCTAGACTCCAGAGCTCATGCCCCTCCACTCTGTGAATTTCTGACTGCTGCTGTAAGAAATGACCACAGGGGTCATTTAACAATAATACAACATCTATTAATTATCTCATAGTCCTGGAGGCAGAAGAATGAAATGGAGAGGTTGGCAGGTTATAGGGGAGAATCCATTCCCTGCTTTTTCCAGCTTCTGGAAGCTGCCTGCGTTCCTTGGCCCATGGCTTCTTTCTCCTTCCAAGCACATACTCCAGGCTGTTTCATCATCACGTCTCATTCTCTGACCCTCATCCTTCTGCCTCCTTATCAAGACCCTTGTGATGACGTTGAGCCCACCTGAAGAATCCTATATAATAAAAGCCTAATATGCTGAGTGTCTGGTTGACCAGTCAAAGCATAATATGCTAATGATATGCTAAGGTCACTCAACCACTTGCTATGACATGCACTGACCACAGGGGGCAGACAGTTGACTGGTTGGCCAGCTGCTATGATGCGCACTGACCACCAGGGGACAGATGCTTCGACTGGTAGATTAGCTTGCTGCTGGGGTTCCGCCAATTGGGACTGATCAAGATGGGCCTGACACGCCCATGGTCCCTCCCTGGCTGGCTAACCTCCTGTGTCTCTCCCTGGTCCTGATGGTGCAACCAGTGGGGTCCCTCAGCCAGGCCTGTGCCCTCTCATAATTTGGGATCCCTTAGGGGATGTCAGAGAGCTGATTTTGGCCTGATCCTGCAGATCATGATGAGGGACCCCACTGGTACACAAAATCGAGCACTGGGCCTCTACTAGTCTAGAATAAGCCCTCAATCTAAGACCCTTAACTTAATCATCTCTGCAAAGTGTCTTCTGTCATGAAATGTAACATATTTGTCCTAGCCAGCTTGGCTCAGTGGATAAAGCGTCTACCTGTGGACTGAAGGGTCCCAGGTTTGATTCCAGCCAAGGGCACATTCCTGGGTTGTGGGCTCAATACCCAATGGGGGTTCTGCAGGAGGAAACCAATCAATGATTCTTTCTCATCATTGATGATTCAATCTCCCTCTCCCTTTCCCTTCCTCTCTGAAAAAAAAAATCTCTCTTTTTTTTTTTTTTTTTTTTTTTTAAAGAAATGTAACATATTCACAGGTTCTGGGATTAGGAAGTGGACATCTTTGGGGAGTCATGACTCTGCCTACCCAGAGTGCATGTGGATAAAGCATAGACCCTGAATGGCATGTCCCTTCCCGCTTCAAACTCTTCCCTGAAGCCTATGGGTCCCAGCACAAAGTCCCAGTGTGTCTGCCTGTCTTTAGGTTCCTGCCAGCTGCTCTTGCCCTCCCACTGGCCCCTGCCAACCTTACAGCAGGACTTGCAGGATATTCTCACCCAACTTCCTCATGCTGCAATGCCTTCCCACTTCCTTCTTTGTCTGGCTGGGCTATTTATTCATCTGGGCCCCAGTTATACTTGTTTCCGCCTGTAGAAAGCCTGGACCCCAACAGGTTCCCATGCCTGTGGCCCTCACTGAGGAATGTTTCTCAAAGCTTCAAAAGGGATCCTGTGTGCTCTAGTTAAAGGAGGCCAGGGGGTGAGAAGAACATAATACATTTTGGGAGTCTGTCCACGAGGGTGTGCATAGGTGTATCTCTAACCTGAGGTCACTCCTCTAGTTTCAAACAGTCCAAGAAAGAAATGGCTGTGTTTCTGGGCACTGCACTAAGCCAGACACTCAATGACCCCCATCTTACATGTGAGAAAACAGAGATTAAACCCCATATGTAGGGCCATTTAGCAAAATAGGGGAAGATTGAGGTGTGATCCCTGGTGTTTTGTTTATTGAGTCTCACAACACCGCCTTAGTGTGTGATCTTGGGCAAGTCACTTAGCGTCTGTGCCTCAAATGTTTTTGTGTGTTTTTAAAATATATTTTTATTGATTTCTTTACAGAGAGGAAGGGAGTGGGATAGAGAGTTAGAAACATCGATGAGAGAGAAATATCTATCAACTGCCTCCTGCACACCCCCTACTGGGAATGTGCCCGCAACCAAGGTACATGCCCTTGACTGGAATCGAACCCGGGACCGTTCAGTCTGCAGGTTGACGCTCTATCCACTGAGTCAAACCAGTTAGGGCCAGAAGCTTTTTAATGAGTTAAGGTCCAGGGGTAGCTACTACTACTTCAAAATTATTTTTTATTAATTTCAGAGAGGAACTACTTTTTAAAAAAATATGTTTTTTATTGATTTTAGAGGAAGGTAGAAGGGGAGAGAGATAGAAATATCAATGATGAGAGAGAACCCTCCTGCATGCCCCCTACTGGGGATTGAGCCTGCAACCCAGGCATGTGCCCTTGACTGGAATTGAACCATGACCTCCTGGTTCATGAGTTGTTACTCAACCACTGAGTCACACCAGCTGGGCAGCTACTACTACTTATACTCTTTGCTTGAGCCACTTGCAGGTCTTTCAAACACTATTTTTCTTATGTCCAGCCTTGGCGCATGCTGTTCCTCATCTGGGCCCCCATCCTTCCCACCACTTCTCTATTCACTTTCCCTGACTTGCCAGGCCAGGTCAGGGCCCTGTGATGAAACTGTGCGATAACATGTCCCTGTCCCTGTCCCCCTGTCCAACTTCCTACTCCCAGGTCTAAGAGCCCCTTGAGTGTTGGAATTGGGTGGGTCTTGGGCACTAGATATAGGGCCCACTCATAGTAGTTGCTCAATTCATATTAATTGCATGGGTAAAGCAGTAAATAGTACAAACACCTCCTCCCGTGAATACAGGTTTCTAAATTGTAACCACCACCCCTGTGTTCGACCTCCACCCCCAGAAAGGCAAGAAACCAGAGGAGCAAAACAGAGAGGTCATTATTTTACAGCTGCAAGTTGGGCATGGTCCTTGGTCCCGGGTGGGGACCGGCTGCCCCATACTTGGGGGAAGAGGGAATTGTCCGTCTTCTTCTGAATGGGCTCTGGGAACACGTCTCCCAGGGAGTTAGGGGCCTTATACACACAGGCCCCCTTTCTACAAACCCCCCACACTTTGGGAGAGAAGCTGGAGTGAGGAATGTGTGTGAGCAGAGAAGGAGGATGAAAAAGCATGGTCTGAGAGGGGGGGTTGACCACAACAGCTCTGGGACATTGGCTGTTTTGTTGACTTTGGACAGCCAGCCTTCCAGGAACCCAGAATCTGTCATTCAAAAAGCAACCGCAAAGCGATCGGAGCTAATGGGTGCTAAGCCCTGTCCCCAGAGCTGTCCAAGTCCCACCTCATTCCACCTGGGAAACTGCCAGGCAGTCCCAAGGGTTGTCAGGCCCTACTACCCCCACTCCACCCAATGCTAGGCTTCACTCCACCCACCATAGCCCTCCCCCCCACACACACACTCCCCCTGTGTGTCTGGGAGCTCACACTTGCAGGGATTATTGCCTGCCTGCAGCACTTGTAACCTGTGGTGAATAAAGAGAGGTGAGAGTGGAGTCTTCAAGCAAGAGTTGGGGGATGGGCTTGGGGCAGGGGGGTCCAAGCAGAAGTGTCAGTTACCTACCCCTGTCTCCATCTCCATTGTCTAGCCCACATTTCCACCCCTCCCAGGACTCTGTACTCACCTGGTACAGCCACAGCCACTGGAAGGGCATGGCCACCCACAGCAGGATAGAGATCATCCTCGTGAAGTAGATGCATCAGATGATCTGCAAGGGACACTGTTGGGCACAGGGGCCCAGTGAGATCAGAAGGGATGCCTGGGGTGGGGCCCACAGATAGAAGGCAGAGAGCTGAGTGGTGGGGTTCAGAGGTACAGCAGAAAGAGGGGTTTGGGAGGGTGTACCAAGGGGCTATTTGTCCTCCCCCTCAAAACTTCCTTCATGAGTGGGAACGAGGTTCCTACCATGACATAGTAATGTTGAAACAGTTTCAGCTTGGCCAGGTTCACTGCCACTGAGAGGTGGGCACAGAGAGTGGGGGTCAGGGGACAGAAGCTGAAATCAAGAACATGGAGAAAGCCCTAACTGGCTTGGCTCACTGGGTAGAGCATCGGGCTGCAGACTGAAGGGTCCCAGGTTTGATTCCAGTCAAGGGCATATACCTTGGTTGCAGGCACATTCCCAGTATGGATTTCGCAGGAGGCAACTGATCAATGTTTCTCTCTTATTGATGTTTCTAATTCTCTATCTCTCTCCCTTCCTGTCTGTAAAAAAAATCAATAAAATATACTTTAGCTGAAACCGGTTTGGCTCAGTGGATAGAGTGTTGGCCTGCGGACTGAAAGGTCCCAGGTTCAATTCCGGTCAAGGGCATGTACCTTGGTTACGGGCACATCCCCAGTAGGGGGTGTGCAGGAGGCAGCTGATCAATGTTTCTCTTTCATCAATGTTTCTAGCTCTCTATCCCTCTCTCTTCCTCTCTGTAAAAACTCAATAAAACACACACAGACACACACACACACACACACACACACACACACACATATATATATAATTTTTTTAAAAAACACGGAGAGGGATAGAGGGCTGGTGTCAGGAAGAACATGGGGCAGAAAATCTAGAGGGAGATGTCCAGTGAGACAGTGAAGGGGAGGGAGGAGGGGGAGAGGGTAATCAGAGAGGAAGGAAGGGACATCTGGGGATCAGCATGAAGGACTTGTAGCAGGATGAGGGCTGAGGACTCAGTGGGTCCCAGGGAGCAGGGCCTCACCCTTCCTTGGGGCCAGATGCTGGATGGACCTGGGAAGGAAAGGGGCACACAAGGAACAGTCAGTGCTGCCTCCACCCATGTCCATGAGGGTGGGTTCTGGGCCTGGAGGAGGGCAGGGGTAGAGTCCTCACCAGACCACAGGAAAAAAGGATGGTATCACAACAGATAAGATCTACCAGAAATAGAAGCCCACGGTCACTGACACCCTCTTCATAGGATGTGATGACAATGTAGGCCAGGTCAGCCAGGACCTGTGAGGCCCTGAGGTATAGGGTGGAAAGGTATGCCCATGTGTGCAGATGTGCCCCCCTGGGGCCTCGAATGCACCTGAATCAGGATCATGATCCCAAGATCTTCTCCTTGTTGGACAGCATGCACTGGACAAAGGCCCAGCCAGAGCTGATCAAGGAAATGGTGAACAAGAGGGCACCCATCATCCTAGAGGTCAAAAAGAGTGAGTAGTGAGAGGGGCACCCAGTCCTCTCCTGCCCACTGCCCACCACCTTTCCCAGCAGAGAAGGTCACTCATAAGTGTGTCATGTAATGCATGACTGCAAGGCTTTGATGTGGTGGCCCTGGCTGTTGATGAAGTAGTAGTTGATGTGGAGGTGGACCGATAGATGGACAGGCAGAGAGATGGGCAGTGGTTACAAATGGGTGGATGGTGGTGGTTTAGGAACATGGACAATCATTGTCAGATGGATGGCTAGAAAGTTGACTAAACTGATGGTTACAATCAGCATGGTGAGTGGACTCAGAAATGGACAGTCACAGCCACAGCAATGGAGGAAAGATCATAGTTAGATGGGTGGAGAGTGAGAATCAGTCAGGTATCAATAGATAGTCACAGCTTTACAAAAGGACAGATAGACAAATGAAGTGGATGGACACAATGATAAAATGGATGGACACATGGAACTGCCATGCCCAGGGCCTGCAGAGAGCTGAGGGTGGCCTGTCCAGACTGCATCTTGGACCCAGGGAGCCCAGCCTGCCCCCTGCTCCAGGCCCAGGTTCTCACACTGGAAAAAAAGCAAGATATTCCTAGTGAAAGCCAGGGCCACCATGAGCGAGTGGATCTTAAAGACACTGTACCTGATGTGGAGTCAAGGACAGAAAGTGGCACAGAAGTATCAGTCAGGGGTAGGGATAGGAGGGAGTGGTGGTTAGAAGTAGGGACCCAAGGGCAAGGATATCATGTGATCTTGCAGATGACAGATACCCAAAAATTGCCAGTGGCCAGGAAACAGGCAGACAGGACCAGATAGAGCTTGAAAGGGGAATTTCCAATGCTAATAGGAAGCCCTCTGGGTTCTTCTCCTGGATCATATCTAAGGAGAGGGAAAAGGAAGGCATTGCATGCTAGCTCTGAACTTGCAGAACCATCCCTGGGAATCTCCAGCTCTCCCACTCTCTAACTGGCCAACTCCCCCTAAGTCTTCCTATCTCCCAAATGGGTACATCAGCCTTCATTACACAGCATGGCTACCAAATGGATCTGATGAAGCTGAACTCAACATGGTTACCTGACTTGTAGTTAGGACTCTGTGAACCTGTTGCCCAAACAACCACTCAACATGATTTCAAGTAGGCATTCCTGTCCCTGCATCAAATTGTAGTAGTTGTGAAAACTGAGACTATATTGGCCTTCCTTGGTCCTCAAGCCAATTATATTGTGGAACTGAGTGGTGGGGACAGCCTCATTTGGAGTGAGGGGTCCCACAGATACCCAAACTCAACTTGGATATCACTTCCTCAGGGAGACCTTTGCTGATCCTCTGAACCCAGCCCATCCCTTCCTCCCCCTCCCCCTGGCCCCAATTAAACTGTTGATGTAAAAAGAAATACATTTTGAAGAAACCAAGATGGCGGCATAGGTAAACACCTGAATTTGCTGCCTTATACAACAACTTCAAAACTACAACTAAAATACAAAATGGACATCATCCAGAACCACAGGAAGGCTGGCTGAGTGGAAATTCTACAACTAGATGGAAAGAGAAAAGCACACTGAGACTCAGAGGAGCTGCAAAAATAAAGGCAGAGGTATGGAGGTGTGCACGTGGAGAGGGCTGGCAACTGAGTATGTGGCTGGCTTTTTTATTCCAAAGGGAGACACAAGCTCCCGGCTACTCTGAACTCCAGTTCCAGGCAAAACTCTGGGAACTCAGACTCATTTGGGGAGAAACTGGACTGTCTGGCAGTGAGCAGAACTCAAGGGCGGCTTTCTCTCAGAGGTGCTTGCAGCAATTACCAAGGGACATTGAAGCCCAGGCAGGGCTGACAGGAAGCCATTTCTGTTTGCTCCGCCCTAAGACCCCACCTCATCTAAAATGTGCACAGAGGCTTTTGCATATGAATGGCAGTCCTTTGAAATCTAAACTTACCTAACAAACTGAAGCTGAGTCAATGAGACCCAGAATATCCAAAAGAAGGCCCAAGGCCCCACAGCAGCTTGCATTGCCTCACAGCTGGGCCTCATCTGGGCACTTCTAAAACCCAAACAAAGAAAAGGAATCTGCAGATCTCTCTGTAGCTCCTGCTGGGTGGCCTCAGGCAGAGGCTAAATTAGCACCTCCTTAGAGATTCAAGAGCCAGTGTACCCAGGAGTCAGAGTAAGACCATCCAGATCCATAAGGGACACACTCAAGGGGCAGACTCAGTGAGCACCAAAGCCCCATTCAAGCAAGTCTTGCCCCATAAGGGTGTCTCTAGCACAAAAGTTCTCCCAACATAGACACTGCTGATTCTCACAGCCAATTGGCCTGGAGATCAATTCCTCCCAGTGATAACAACAACTAAGGCTTAACTACCACAAAACAGTGCACACAGCCCACAAAGGAGTGCACCAAGAGTGTCCACCTCAGGTAACTGGGGAGGCTGAGTCACTGGGCGCTATAGGACACCTAGTACACAAAGCCACTCTATCAACTCAGGGAAGCAGCCAAAATGCGGAGACAAAAAAACAGGTCATAAATGAAAGAAATGGGAAGAAAACAAACTACTGGATATAGAGTTCAAAACCACGGTTATAAGGTTTTTCAAGAATTTTCTAGAAAAGGTTGATAAATTTAGTGAGACCCTTGAGGATATGAAAAAGACCAATTAGAAATTAAGCATATACTGACTGAAATAAAAAATAACATACAGAGATCCAGCAGCAGACTAGATGATCAAAAGAATCAAGTCAAATATTTGAAATACAAAGTAGCAAAAAACACCCAACTAGAAAAGAAAAAAGGATCCAAAAATATGAAAATAGTGTAAGGAGCCTCTGGGACAACTTCAAGCATACCAACATCAGAATTATGGGGGTGCCAGAAGAAGAGAGAGTACAAGATACTGAAAACCTATTTGAAGAAATAATGACAGAAAACTTCTCCCATCTGGCGAAAGAAATAGACTTACAATCCAGGAAGCGCAGAGAACCCCAAACAAAAGGAATCCAAAGAGGACCACACCAAGACATATCATAATTAAAATTCCAAGGGCAAAAGACAAAGAGAGAATATTAAAAGCAGCAAGAGAAAAACAGTTATCTACAAGGGAGTGCCCATATGATTGTCAGATTGATTTCTCAACAGAAACTATGCAGGCCAGATGGGAGTAGCAAGAAATATTCAAAGTACTGAATAGCAAGAACCTACAATCAAGATTACTCTACCCAGCAAAGCAGAGCTTCACAGAAAAGAAAAAGCTAAAGTATCAATAGTTCATCACCAGTATTATATGAAATGCTGAAAGGTATTCTTTAAGAAGAGGAGGAAGAAGAAAAAGTAAAGATAAATATTATGAACAACAAATACATATCTATCAACAAGTGAATCTAAAAATCAAGTGAATAAAAAAAATCTAATGAACAGAATAAACTGGTAAATATAATAGAATGAAGAGCAAAGAAAGGGAGTGGACTGACAATTCTCAGGGGGGAAAGGGAAGAGACTGGACAAAAATCGTACACCTATAGATGAGGACAGTGCGGGGGGAGTGGTAAGGGCAGAGGGTGGGGTGGGAACAGGGTGGAGGGGAGCTATGGGGGTAAAGAGGAGCAATTGTAACAATCTGAACAACAAGATTTATTTTTTAAAAGAAATACATTTTTAAAAATATGTTTTATTGGTTTTAAAGAGGAAAGGTGAGGAAGACAGAAATATCAATTTGAGAGAGAAACATGGACCAGCTGCCTCTCACATGCTGGGAATTGGATCCATAACCTACGTATGTGCCCTGACAGGGAATCCAACACACCTCCTTTCTGTGTACGGAATGATGCTACCAATTGAGCCATACTGGCCAAGGGTGAGAAATCATTTTTTTTTTTAATCAACAAAATGTTGATGGTTTCCTGCCTGGGACTCAGGAATCCAGCACACTTGGATTTGCATGCAGGCTCTGTGACTCTGAGCTAGCCACATATCTCCAAGCCTGTGTAAAATGGGCTTTACAGGACGCTTTTGCAGCATCCCTGAAAGATGGCTACCAGGAAACCGATTTATGGAAATTGCTTTGCATGGTACCCGGTATCGAGTGGGTATTTAATAAATGCTTGCTATTCATTTCAACTGTGGGGACTGGAGCTGTCTTGTTCATTGTTATGCTCTCTCACCCACCTCCGCTCAGTCCCTAACACATATTGCATGAGATAATATTATTCTCGTGTTCCCAATGAGGAAACTGGGACTCAAGGGACTTACTTGTTCAAGATCATATGGGTGAGGAGCAGAACTAAGATGTGAATCCGGAACTAGGGAGAGGTGGGTTTAAACACTTGTGCACTTCACCCTCCTCCAGCAAACTCCTCAAAGCCTCTCCCCAAAGGGATTTTCTTTTTCGTTTCCTGAAGCTCCAGCCACGGGAGGCTCAGGTTCACCTTCAGAGAGCCCTTGGTATAGAAACCGAAGCTGTTCAGCTGGATGTCTGGTCGCTTCTCCCCCTACCGGACACCAAGGAGACTAAAGGCAGTTCAGACTTCTTCCCACGGACCCAGGCTCAGGCATGAGGCTCACCCAAGGGCTTCGGTGGCCCACATCTGGCACCCCTTTATTTAGGACAGCTCCAAAGTGGTGACAGAACAGGCTGCGAGGGCCTCCCTGGAGGCTGTGTCCCTAGACCAATCCTAGGCAGGGACATAGTGCTTCCCTGTCCTCCGCCACTGTTCTGAGATTCCAGGATTAAATCCTGGGCACCTGGCAGTACCCGCCCTCCACCACCACCACCACCACCACAACCACCCCCACCACCAGGTGAGTACCACCCTGAAAGCACAGCTATTTTTCCTGGTGTCTGGCCCTCAACGCCCGGACAACTTTTAGATCCCAGCCTGAGTCCCCAGCGTGCTGAATTCAACTGAGCCCCTGAGATCCCAATGAGTGCCCAGAGGACCCCGGGGACTCCTGGATGGAGCCAAGCAAGAGCCATTAGCCCCCTCAATGAGATCCCAGGAATTTAGAGAGCCAAGAGCCTGGGGGTGGACAGATGAAGCCCGGCCCCTGATGGGCGGCACGACCCCAACGTGATTCACTGGGCAACTCAATCCGGCGGACTGGGGGTGCTTCCAAGGAGAACTCTCCGATCCTGGAAGCCTGGGGCGCTGGACCGCTCCATCCCGCGAAAGTACCGGGGGAAATAGGAAGAGACCACTGCAAGCCAGAGGCTTCTCTGGGGGCAAAGATGCGTTTCTCCCCCCGCCCGCCCAGACCGCCTGCGATGTGACTATGACTCGACGTCAGCGCCGGCTAGTGGATGCGCCCAGAACCGCAGCCCAACTGGAGCAGCGGAGGTATCCCCGGGCCCCACTCTGCAGGGCTCCCGCGGGCGGGCGGGCCCCGCCTCTCGCTCAGCGCCACCCCTGGAGCCACCACCTCCCCAGACTCCGCCTCTGACGCGCCCAGGCCCGCCTGCCGTGGAGCCAATGGCCGCTCGGTGGGGGCCGACCTTGCGGCTTGTCCAGCCCGCCAGACCAATCAGTGGTTCTCTTCTCACAAACCAGCCCCTCAACGACACCAAATAGACAGCACTAGCTCTGAATGAAAGAGCTGATAAACGCTTAGCCCGCCTTTACTCTCACCAAATCACTAGAAAAGGAATCCCGGAAATAATTTGCTAAAACAATTCACCTAGCCAATTGTTATAGATCTGGTATCCAACCCTAGAGCATGCCTCCACCCACTCTTAACGGAGAGACTGGCCCAGGACTACAGTACCCAGAATGCAGAGGGAACAGACTGCGCACCAGGGCATTCAGGGGACTACCTTTCCCAGGATCCCCAAGGGCGGGCTTTCACTTTCCGACCCTGGAGATGTGGCTCCCCGCGGGAGTTCCAGCTTTTAGTAAACACGCGCATCTGCCGACGCCTATCCTGTTCTAATCATTTTTGTCAACCCAGAAGCCTAAACTTGGCCCCAGGCTCTATCTTGACCCTAGAGTGACCTATGACCCCAGGCTGAGTCTCAGCTTTAGGCGAAGCCTCCTATCCTAGAGTGGGGCAATTGCGAGTCCTACCCCCCAGATGGACTAAACCCTAATCCCAGGCTGAGTTCCCTTCCTGCAGTTGAGCCCCGACCTCATCCCGAAACCCAAATTCCCTACGCCCTTCTGACCCTCGACCTACACAGAGTCTTCCTTCCTCTGTAGTTGGTATCCTCACCTGCACTGAGACCTGACCTCAGATGAAACCAGATCCTAGGAATTTATTTTGATTAGACACCCCTCCCCCCCCACTGGATTGCTGACCCCTCTGCTAAACTCTGACCCATCTGAGATTCCATCCCAACTTCAGTCCCAGCCTGGCATAAATCTGAGCTCGAAACCAGAGCTAGGACCCTAATCCCAGGCTGAGCTATTGTGTCCAGACCCCAGCCTCCCTTACACTCTGGAGCACAGCCCACTTTGCAATTCGAGGATTTCTAGCTCAGAAGCCACCAGCAGGTGGGGCCAGGTCTCCACAGAGCCATCTCTCCTAGTGTGAGCTCCCGAAGCTATCCTCCAGGGCTCCCTGGTACGTTAGTGGGCATCTGCGAGCCTAATTAGTCCCGATGGCCAGAGCGCCCAGCTCCAGCAGAGCGTTTATCACCTCAGTAGCTATAAAGCAGTAAAGGCGGGAGAGGGTAAGGGTTGGGGCTGCTGGGATCTCTCCCTTTTCATCCCAGAACCTCAAAGGGATTAACAGTGTGAACCAACTTTTATGAGGGAGCCCCAAGACTTCCCAGCCCCAGGCCCTAACGTGGAGGGATGGGCGGAGTTGGAATCCCAGGACAATTAAACCTCATTGGGTCTTGATGGGAGCTACTGAAAAATGGGCAGGTGCAAGCCCTTTTAAGTGGGCGGGAGCTGAGGAAAGTCCTGGGCCCGGCGCCCCAAGGACGGCCTGTCCTCAGTTTCCCGGCGCAGACGTTAGGGGAGGGAAGGCAGGATGCGGTGGGGGCTAATGGACCCGGTCTTGGCGAAGCCGCGCGTCCTGGGCAGGATCGAAGTCCTCCGATCCTTCCTGTGGCGGGAGAGACCAGACCATTTGTGGGACGAGCATAGACGTCTGGAGCCGCGCCGGCCCGCAAGAGCTGGGTGACCTCAGGTTCTCCCTGCCAAGGGGTGGGGAAGGACCTCTTAGAGGTTTTTTTTAGTGTCTTGACCGTTAAGATTGAAGAGAAAGGGGAAAGTTAGAACAGTCCGAGACCGGGCATGTCGGGGAAGTTAAAAGGGGCCCGGGGACTTGGCAAATGGGTGGGAGTCCGGCGTCTGTCCAGTTCCATCCCCCCCACTCCAAACCCCCCTTTTAGGTTTCTGGGCTGGAGATCCTCGCGGCCGGGGCGGGGCAGAGCCCGAGGGGCGGGGCCTAGCCACAAGGGGCGGGGCCTAGCCGCGAGTGGGCGGGTCCTGGGCGGGGCGGGGTCGGGCGCATAGCCTTCGAGTGAGTTTCCCCGCGGAGGGCGGCGGGCGGCGGGGACCGGGTGCGGCGGCCTCGGCGGCGGCCTCGGCGGGAGCAGGATGGATTGGGGCACCGAACTGTGGGTGAGTCCCATCGGCCTGACTCCCTAGTTCTCATCTTCCTGGGGGTCCAGACGCCACCCTCCCTCTGCCCCCCCTGCAGTTCCTTCGCCGGAGCTCCACGCTTTCCCTTCCACCGATCCCTGTAGTCCCCGCTCCGCCCTCTCTCTCTCTCTTTCTCTCTCTCTCTCTCTCGAGGAGTTTCCCGGGACGTCTCAGGAAGCTCGGGGACAAGGGGGAGGTAGACCTCGCAGGTGCGGCGTGGGGAAACTGAGGCACCGGGTTCCGCGTTGAGGGGGAAGACGAAGTCCTGGGACCAGGCCGGGGCGGCCGAGCGAGGTCACCTATTTTGGGCGCCCTGAGCTGGGCGGGCGGCTTATCTTACGGCCCCTGGGCTCCTGCCCGCCGCCCGCCTGTCCGCCTGGTGAGGGGGAGGGGACCCTCTGGCCACTTCCAACCCCACGTGGGACGGAGGAGTTCGGGCTGCCCTTTGCGTCACCTCCGATCAGCACCTGGGGGCTAGGGACGCTCTGCGGGGGGGAAGGGGCCGTGAGGCTTGGCCTCCTCTGTTCCAGGCTCAGGGAGGGGCCGCCTCCAGGCAGCCTCTAACCTCAGTTCTGGAAGTCCCAGGAATTCCCCCCTAATTCTAGCCGGGACCTCCGACCCCTCCTTTTTCTGGAGGCGGGGGCATCTGTGGGGTTCCCGGGTGCAGCGAGGTAACTGCCTTGCCCCCTCCTCAACTCTGGGGTTTCTTTTGGAGGTGCAGGGGAATTCGTGGGGAAGCGGGGGAGAGAAACTGAGTACCTCGGGGTGCCTGCCCTTTGGCCATTCTGCCCCTCCTAACCCCCAAGAGGCAGGGAACCCGGCCCCGGTAGCCCTGACTCACGCCGGGCCTGCCGGATTTTCCGGAATCCGGGGGGGATTAGGGGAGTCGGAGCGAGGGGAGTGGCCCTACCCCCATTCCACACCCCTCTTGGCCGGTCCGGAGCCGGAGACCCTGTCGTCGTCGTCCGTCTGGGGCCCCGCCCCTGTTCCCTGGCCCTTCCCGGGAAGGGGAGGGGGTTCCCGCTGGTTTCCTGCCTCCCCCCGCACCTCCAGCCGAGTCCGAGCCGGGGCGGGTCCGGGAAGCCACTCCTTCTCCGAGGGAGCCCAGAGCCTTGAGGCTCCCTGCTATCTGGCTGCGGGGTCTAGACCCGGTCCTCCCTCTCCCTCCCGGCAGGATCAGTTTGAGGTGATAGAGCGGCACACGCAGTGGGGGCTGGACCTGTTGGACAGATACGTGAAGTTCGTGAAAGAGCGGACGGAGGTGGAGCAGGCTTACGCGAAGCAGCTGCGGTGAGACCCTAGGTTGGACAGGCCCTGGGGCTAGAGGGTGCCGTTGGGGGCTGGGGGCTCAGCCTTCCTGCCTCTCCCCCCATAGGAGCCTGGTGAAAAAATATCTCCCCAAGAGGCCTGCGAAAGATGACCCTGAATCCAAGTAAGGATGGGGAGAGGGTGTGGGGCTGGACTGGAAGCAGGGATGGGGGTGGGAGCCGGGGGCTTTTGTCCCGGTTTCTCTCCCAGAGCTGAGTCACTCAATCAGATCCCTCAGGTGTTATCTAGATTCCTACCTAGAGTTAAGAGTATAGGCCCTGGCCACTGTGACCCAAAAAGGGGAGAGTTCGATTCCTGTCTCTCTCTCTCTCTCTCTCTCTCTCTCTCTCTCTCTCTCTCTCTCTCTCTCTCTCTCTCTCTCCCTCTCCCTCTCTTCCTCTCTCTTCCTCTCTCTCTCTCTCTCTCTCTCTCTCTCTCAAACCAATTAAAATTTTTTAAATAAATAGGTACAGGCTCCAGAGTATCAGGGTTGCAATTCTAAGTCCACTACTTTCTAGCCAAACTGCTTTGGGCAATTGACTCAGTTCTCTGCTTCCATTTTCCTCTATCTGTTAAACCTGGGAGGCTCCAGCAGGTACTAAGTGAGTGAGTCTGGGCAAGTGACTTAATGGTTGTGCCTCTGTTTTCTTTATCTGTGAAATGGGCATGATGACCATGACCTTGTGGTCGGCGCACATGAAGAGTAACTGAATGAGTGTGTTAAAACAGTGTCCAGCCCATATGGGTCTCATGTTCAGAACCCAAAGGGTTCGAGAAATCCAAAAGTTTCTTATTTGGAGGCCACCTCTGATCAGAACTCACTTGATGGGGATCAGGTCCATTATGGGCTTGGTTTTTCTCCCACTTGATTTTTAACCCTTCTTTCTGCAAAAATACTTGTAGTGTCTGGTTACAGGATGTTGTCCCTGACCCCACTGGGATGCTAGACAAAAGATGGTCTAAGCATTGCCATCTCCTTTCTAAAACCCAAAATATTCTAGGTCCCAAAATGCATCTCACTCAAGCAAGGGGTAGGGGTAGGGGATACGGCCAGAATTTGTCAGGGCTTCAGGAGTGAATGTCATGAGCCTCCCCCTTTCTCCTGTGGAGGTGGGTCCTGGGGTCTGACCTCTGGCTGGCTGTCCCCTCTCTCCCCTGAGGTTCAGCCAGCAGCAGTCCTTCGTGCAGATTCTCCAGGAAGTAAATGACTTTGCGGGCCAGCGGGAGCTCGTGGCTGAGAACCTCAGCGTCCACGTGTGTCTCGAGTTGGCCAAATACTCGCAGGAGATGAAGCAGGAGAGGAAGATGGTGAGTGCTCTCCTCCCGGGTCTTCCCGGGGGCCCTGCCGTGACCCGGGTGAGCCTGTCACTCTCTTTTCCCACAGCACTTCCAAGAGGGACGTCGGGCCCAGCAGCAGCTGGAAAGCGGCTTCAAACAGCTGGAGAATGTGAGTTTGTGGGTGTGGACGGTGGCTCTGGTCCACAGGGTGAGGGAGCAGGGTGAGGGTTGCTGACCCACAGAGCCTTTTGTCTGGCTAGAACCTCTCCCCTAACCCACCCCCCCCACCCCCCCCAGGAAAAAAAAAAAAGGTTTCCAGAATGCCCATTGCCCCCCATTTGCTGGGTT